GTGAGTGGGTGGGTGAGTGAGTGGGTGAGTGAGTGGGTGAGTGGGTGAGTGAGTGAGTGAGTGGGTGAGTGAGTGAGTGAGTGGGTGAGTGAGTGGGTGGGTGGGTGGGTGAGCTGCTGGTGAGGACGCTGAGATCCACCCTCAGCATCTCGGTGAGGACGTGCCTCACCCTCCTCACCAGCAGCTCACCCAGACGCTCACTCACCGCTGGGGGTGGACAAGGGGTGAGTGGGTGGGTGGGTGGGTGAGTGGGTGGGTGGGTGAGTGGGTGAGTGGGTGGGTGAGTGGGTGGGTGGGTGAGTGAGTGGGTGAGTGAGTGGGTGAGTGAGTGAGTGGGTAAGTGAGGGAGTGAGTGAGTGGGTGAGTGGGTGAGTGAGTGACTGAGTGAGTGACTGAGTGACTGAGTGAGTGACTGAGTGACTGACTGAGTGAGTGACTGAGTGAGTGAGTGTGTGACTGAGTGATGGTGAGTGATGGTGAGTGACGGTGAGTGACTGAGTGAGTGATGGTGAGTGATGGTGAGTGAGTGAGTGACTGAGTGAGTGATGGTGAGTGAGTGATGGTGAGTGATGGTGAGTGATGGTGAGTGACTGAGTGAGTGATGGTGAGTGATGGTGAGTGACTGAGTGATTGACTGAGTGAGTGATGGTGAGTGATGGTGAGTGAGTGATGGTGAGTGATGGTGAGTGATGGTGAGTGACGGTGAGTGACTGAGTGAGTGATGGTGAGTGACTGAGTGAGTGACTGAGTGAGTGATGGTGAGTGACTGAGTGAGTGAGTGAGTGGGTGAGTGATGGTGAGTGACGGTGAGTGACTGAGTGAGTGATGGTGAGTGATGGTGAGTGATGGTGAGTGACTGAGTGAGTGATGGTGAGTGATGGTGAGTGATGGTGAGTGACTGAGTGAGTGACTGACTGAGTGATGGTGACTGAGTGAGTGACTGAGTGAGTGATGGTGAGCAGGATGTCCTCACCCTCCAGCATGGTGAGCGGTGAGTGAGTGAGTGGTGAGTGATGGTGAGTGATGGTGAGTGAGTGAGTGGTGAGTGATGGTGAGTGATGGTGACTGAGTGATGGTGAGTGATGGTGAGTGAGTGATGGTGAGTGACTGAGTGAGTGATGGTGAGCAGGATGTGCTCACCCTCCAGCATGGTGAGCGGTGAGTGAGTGAGTGATGGTGAGTGATGGTGAGTGATGGTGAGTGATGGTGAGTGACTGACTGAGTGATGGTGAGTGACTGAGTGATGGTGAGTGATGGTGAGTGATGGTGAGTGATGGTGAGCAGGATGTCCTCACCCTCCAGCATGGTGAGCGGTGAGTGAGTGAGTGATGGTGAGTGATGGTGAGTGATGGTGAGTGACTGAGTGAGTGATGGTGAGTGATGGTGAGTGATGGTGAGTGACTGAGTGAGTGATGGTGAGTGATGGTGAGTGATGGTGAGTGACTGAGTGAGTGATGGTGAGTGATGGTGAGTGATGGTGAGTGACTGAGTGAGTGATGGTGAGTGATGGTGAGTGATGGTGAGTGACTGACTGAGTGAGTGAGTGGGTGAGTGATGGTGAGTGAGTGATGGTGAGTGAGTGAGTGACTGACTGAGTGACTGAGTGAGTGATGGTGAGTGACTGACTGAGTGATGGTGAGTGATGGTGAGTAATGGTGAGTGGTGAGTGACTGAGTGAGTGATGGTGAGCAGGATGTCCTCACCCTCCAGCATGGTGAGCGGTGACTGAGTGATGGTGAGTGACTGAGTGGGTGAGTGGGTGAGTGAGTGATGGTGAGTGAGTGATGGTGAGTGATGGTGAGTGATGGTGAGTGGGTGAGTGATGGTGACTGAGTAAGTGAGTGACTGAGTGAGTGACTGAGTGAGTGATGGTGAGTGACTGAGTGAGTGACTGAGTGAGTGATGGTGAGTGACTGAGTGATGGTGAGCAGGATGTCCTCACCCTCCAGCATGGTGAGCGGTGAGTGAGTGGGTGAGTGACTGAGTGACTGAGTGAGTGACTGAGTGAGTGATGGTGAGTGATGGTGAGTGATGGTGAGTGACTGAGTGAGTGAGTGAGTGACTGAGTGAGTGACTGAGTGATGGTGAGTGATGGTGAGTGAGTGATGGTGACTGAGTGAGTGAGTAATGGTGAGTGACGGTGAGTGACTGAGTGAGTGATGGTGAGCAGGATGTCCTCACCCTCCAGCATGGTGAGCAATGGTGAGTGAGTGAGTGATGGTGAGTGATGGTGAGTGACTGAGTGAGTGAGTGAGTGACTGAGTGACTGACTGAGTGAGTGAGTGACTGAGTGACTGAGTGAGTGACTGGGTGAGTGACGGTGAGTGACTGAGTGAGTGATGGTGAGCAGGATGTCCTCACCCTCCAGCATGGTGAGCGGTGAGTGAGTGATGGTGAGTGGGTGAGTGGGTGAGTGATGGTGACTGAGTGAGTGAGTGATGGTGAGTGATGGTGAGTGACTGAGTGAGTGACTGAGTGACTGAGTGAGTGACTGGGTGAGTGAGTGAGTGATGGTGAGTGACGGTGAGTGATTGACTGAGTGATGGTGACTGAGTGATGGTGAGTGATGGTGAGTGACTGAGTGAGTGACTGAGTGACTGAGTGAGTGACTGGGTGAGTGAGTGAGTGATGGTGAGTGGGTGAGTGGGTGAGTGATGGTGACTGAGTGAGTGAGTGATGGTGAGTGATGGTGAGTGACTGAGTGAGTGACTGAGTGACTGAGTGAGTGACTGGGTGAGTGAGTGAGTGATGGTGAGTGGGTGAGTGGGTGAGTGATGGTGACTGAGTGAGTGAGTGATGGTGAGTGATGGTGAGTGACTGAGTGAGTGACTGAGTGACTGAGTGAGTGACTGGGTGAGTGAGTGAGTGATGGTGAGTGACGGTGAGTGATTGACTGAGTGATGGTGACTGAGTGATGGTGAGTGATGGTGAGTGAGTGATGGTGAGTGAGTGATGGTGAGTGATGGTGAGTGACTGAGTGAGTGACTGAGTGACTGAGTGAGTGACTGAGTGACTGAGTGAGTGATGGTGAGCAGGATGTCCTCACCCTCCAGCATGGTGAGCGGTGAGTGAGTGACTGAGTGAGTGACTGACTGAGTGACTGAGTGAGTGATGGTGAGTGATGGTGAGTGATGGTGAGTGACTGAGTGAGTGATGGTGAGCAGGATGTCCTCACCCTCCAGCATGGTGAGCGGTGAGTGAGTGACTGAGTGAGTGACTGAGTGAGTGACTGAGTGAGTGATGGTGAGTGATGGTGAGTGATGGTGAGTGACTGAGTGAGTGATGGTGAGCAGGATGTCCTCACCCTCCAGCATGGTGAGCGGTGAGTGAGTGACTGAGTGAGTGACTGAGTGAGTGACTGAGTGAGTGATGGTGAGTGATGGTGAGTGATGGTGAGTGACTGAGTGAGTGATGGTGAGCAGGATGTCCTCACCCTACAGCATGGTGAGCGGTGAGTGAGTGACTGAGTGAGTGACTGAGTGAGTGACTGAGTGAGTGATGGTGAGTGATGGTGAGTGATGGTGAGTGACTGAGTGAGTGATGGTGAGCAGGATGTCCTCACCCTCCAGCATGGTGAGCGGTGAGTGAGTGACTGAGTGAGTGACTGAGTGAGTGACTGAGTGAGTGATGGTGAGTGATGGTGAGTGATGGTGAGTGACTGAGTGAGTGATGGTGAGCAGGATGTCCTCACCCTACAGCATGGTGAGCGGTGAGTGAGTGACTGAGTGAGTGACTGAGTGAGTGACTGAGTGAGTGATGGTGAGTGATGGTGAGTGATGGTGAGTGACTGAGTGAGTGATGGTGAGCAGGATGTCTTCACCCTCCAGCATGGTGAGCGGTGAGTGAGTGACTGAGTGAGTGACTGAGTGAGTGACTGAGTGAGTGATGGTGAGTGAGTGATGGTGAGTGACGGTGAGTGACTGAGTGAGTGATGGTGAGCAGGATGTCCTCACCCTCCAGCATGGTGAGCGGTGAGTGAGTGATGGTGAGTGATGGTGAGTGATGGTGAGTGACTGAGTGGGTGAGTGGGTGAGTGAGTGATGGTGAGTGAGTGATGGTGAGTGATGGTGAGTGATGGTGAGTGGGTGAGTGATGGTGACTGAGTAAGTGAGTGACTGAGTGAGTGACTGAGTGAGTGATGGTGAGTGACTGAGTGAGTGACTGAGTGAGTGATGGTGAGTGACTGAGTGATGGTGAGCAGGATGTCCTCACCCTCCAGCATGGTGAGCGGTGAGTGAGTGGGTGAGTGACTGAGTGACTGAGTGAGTGACTGAGTGAGTGATGGTGAGTGATGGTGAGTGATGGTGAGTGACTGAGTGACTGAGTGAGTGACTGAGTGAGTGACTGAGTGATGGTGAGTGATGGTGAGTGAGTGATGGTGAGTGATGGTGAGTGAGTGATGGTGAGTGACGGTGAGTGACTGAGTGAGTGATGGTGAGCAGGATGTCCTCACCCTCCAGCATGGTGAGCGGTGAGTGAGTGATGGTGAGTGATGGTGAGTGGGTGAGTGAGTGAGTGAGTGACTGAGTGACTGACTGAGTGAGTGAGTGACTGAGTGACTGAGTGAGTGACTGGGTGAGTGACGGTGAGTGACTGAGTGA